AATTTTCTCTTGCATTTGGTACCCATATTTTTATTCTACATTGCATTGAGTTTTTTTTTAAATTTTTGGAATAAATCATATCTTTGAAATTACAAAGTCCTTCAAAATAAATCCTGACGTCAGATATAAAAAAATAAAAAACGCCACTTTAAATAATAAAGTAGGTTTCAAACCCATTGATTTATTATCTATTTTATGGTAGGAGAGCTTCTCAAAGAATATAGAAACAATTTTTTCGATTTAAGCCGTTGAAAAGTAATGCATATCTAAATCAAGGGACTAATCGCGGCATCCCGGGATTATGATAACGATATCCCGAAAATCCCGGGATCGGAAAAAGCTGAAAAATTAACATCCCTAGTGTGATGGTATTTGTGGTGGGCCTTTTTCCGGTAGGTAAATATTTTCGTATTTGTAACCAAATCTGCTACTACAAAGATTCTTACACACGTATTTACAAACACATATATGCACCTTGGTGTTGGAGTCTGGCATCTTTGTTGACATTTCTATTGACGTATGCACGACAATCAAAATTTTGACACTCTCACTGGAGTTGTGATAAATAAATTTCCGTTAGGGCCATTATATTAATTCAAGGTTATTGCCTGCGCCATTCTTTACCATCTCAATTTATATATTTTGTGTAATTAGTCAACTTGAAGTTTGTGTGCAGCAGATTTTTAAGTATCTAAGTGTATTCAGGTTTTTACTTTCATTTTCTTTTGCCTTTTTGTCGTCTCTTCAATTGACTTTCTTCACACGATTCAGACACTTTGATTTAATCACTATTATTTTCAATTAAACTTTTGTTTGTATTTAATTTATGGCTTGTTGTTGTGTTTTAGTCATATCGGAAATGATGTGCAGTCGTACTTTTTTTGTGTGATTCTTAGTTATTTGAATTCACTATTTTTCCATATATTTAGTTTAATTGATTTTACTTACATAAAATAAAAGCCACACAAAAATTTTAAATTCAAATTCAACTCATGTAAATATTCGAATATATATGTATGTACGTATGTACGCTTGTTAATCAACGAAAAATAAATACAAGCTCACATTTACTTTATGCAACTACGCAATTTTTGGCAAAAATTCATAAACAAAATCTATGCAAAACAAATATTTAAATGAAATCCTGGTTAACAACAAATAAACATTCGAATGTAAATCATGAAAATTTTCACAGTGTGTAAAACTGCTGAATATTTGAAGATAACTAGAATATGTTTCATTAAAGCTGGCAGAATGGAATTCCATGGTATTCTTCTTGTCAGCGAGCACTTCGAGGTCCGCCTGCTCACTTTTTGCGTTTCCTTCTTCTTAACTCCAGAAAGAAGCAAGAGATAGAGTTTCAGCAATTCTTGAAGCGGCAATACTGGTAAAGTGTTCTTAACGAACAAAAGCTCCAAAACTTTCTCTTTAGTTCCGACCTTTCGGAATCGCAGTTCGCAAGTCGGTTTTCAGAGTAATTTTAAAAATAGTACCGTTAACCACAGTTACCTGAATGCTACATGAATCCAAGAAGGCCATGGCGGAATTTCATATTCAATAAAATAATTTTTCGCTTGTTTTCAGTAAAATAATTTCGGTTTTTAAATTCATGAACATTTGTAGAAATCATGCGTATGCACGTACGAGAACGTGTGTAGGTAGGTATTTACATACATATGTGTTTAACAATTTGTAATACCTGCAGAATGGAATTGTATTAATATTGAAAGAAAATATTTACACAGATTTTTTTTTAGATGCGGCAATAAAAGGCTAAAGCTTTCTTCTCTATTTTGAAAGCGAAATATGTACATAGTACAACCACACGTTAACACATAAATATGTATCTACATAGGCAGATACGTATAAGTGTGGTCGTATTTTCATATGTACTTACCTACAAAAAAAATTAGAAAATAATATCGTTACTAGATATGCTTCAGTATATTATTTTAAAGTTTTCACCATTTCTTTTCTAATAAACTTAAGCCATGACCGCTTAATTGCAAACTCACAAAATAATATTTCGCTGCTACCCTACAGCAAAATTTACAGAGTCGGTTCCGCACTACATATTCGTAGCTTTCTGGGTAGACCACCACTTCTGACATCGTTGGTAGTGATATACAAAACAAAAAATGTATGTAAACCAATTTGCAAAAGAAAACACCTGCTTGGATGTGGCAAGAATCGAGTCTTGGAGTTCCAGAATTCCATCCTATCGGCAACTATATGAAAACGGAAAAAATGTCAGATAAGAAGTATGAATTCTTTCAGAAAACGAAACTAACCAGTTGCTGGGTATGAAACCGTAAATCTTTTTTGGCTGTAGTTTCACATACATACTATGGTGGTCCTTCAAGTGTCTAAATCATTGAGTTTTATTTTTTTTTTGTGTTTTTAGAAAAAGATAAGTCTAGACATTAGGTCTTACACAAAACGCAATGTAGCTCCTTTTATAAAAAATAAAATATTTTTTTTTAGATAAACTTCTAGCCGTTAACGTTGGTAGCTAGTGCCCTTTTTTGCCATATATTTATTTATTTCTAAATATGTTACTTAAAAAAAAAAACATTAACATCGTTGCTAAGGAAAAGATCTATTTTCGCAATTTATCAAACTCGAAATTCATTCTGCCACAGGGTTTTTTTGGTAAATTGGCTTAGAATTTCAAGTAAAATACTTTTATGGTATACCAGCATAGTAAAAAATATTTACCCGCCCTAATACATACTATGTACACATATATATTTGCATACACTTGTGATCAGCTATTTAAGTCACCAACATTTTGATAAATTTTGGCTATTTTTCTATTTTTTATTTAATGTTTATTATTTTTCCTTAAACAATCTAGCACATTATATAACAAACCCCGTATAAATCCATTATTCAAACTTTAAGCAAAAATTATAAAAAAACCTGCAAAGTTTCAGCTAAATTTTCAACTTTTTATTCAAACGTTTTAGAATTTATTGAGTACGCAGTTTAAAGCCCATTAAATTCCAGGGTAATAATGGGCAAGTTTTAAATAGCTAAAGAATGGCGTTGATTTTTAATATTTTTTTCTGACTGCATGACGCAATTTTTTCCATATAAAAAATAATTGTCGAATATACTTGGGCTACTAAACTACATAATCAAAAAAAAAAAATCTAAATAAAAAGTTGAAAATTTTTCAGAAATTTTGCGGATTTTTTATAATTTTTGCATAAAGTTTGATATGTGGATTTATACGGTGTTTTTTATATAATGAACTCGACTTTTATGGAAAAATAATAAACAAAAGAAATTTAGCCAAAATTGATCAAAATGTTGGTGACTTAATCAGCTGATCACAAATGTACATATGTATGTATATTCCATATTTAGTGGCGTTTTTTGCGTAAAGAGCGAAAACAAAGCTCAGTCACTGTCTTATTTCCCACCGGTGTAATTGCATATGTTTGCATGTGTCGTTAGTAGTAAACACGCGCTTCATTCATAAAATAATTTCGTGCGGAATCGCCATACAGCACTGCTATTAAACTACGTCACACTAATTACCTTGTTCACTATTGCGTAGGTATGGGCGTGTGCCATTGTAGTTACATACCGTTATAATCGCCAGGTGATTGGCCTGTTGAAAAGCTTTAAACTTTAAATAACAAATATATGAATCATGTTAATTATTTATTCTTTCACTTTCAATCCTAAATTGTGTATATATATATGCATGTATGTAGGTATATTACATATATTACATACATACATATGACACATGAATCGTCAAGGAAAGAGAATAATAAGTTAAATTCCGACAGAATTACTTGATGGGTGTAGGAAATTTAACCAACTTTTAATTATATAATAACTAATCTTGTTTAAAATTATTTATCAGTAAGATTTTTTTATAGTTGTATATAGAATTGTAATTAAACTCAATTTTATAATAATACTAATACCAATAAATGATCGCACATATAAACAATAATAAGCATAAATTTCAAACTACGATTACTACGACTGCGATTAGTTTCACTCTAGTTAGATAAATAAGTTTTCAATAAACAATTATTTATGGTAGTTGTGGAAGCAAAAACAAAACACATTTTTTTTTTAATTTGTAGAATCGATACTACTTTAAATGAATTAGCCTTGGTTCCGTCGAAAGCCCCCAAACCTCTCTCATTTTTGTTAGCCTTCGTATAGATTTTAAGGGCGTGATTTTCATTCATGAAAAAGTCGCCTTATTTCAAACCTTATTTGGTATAAAGCGCCGCAGAGAGGTATCTTCCAATTTGGATGGAGCTATAAGTTTTGCGGGAATTACAGATATAGACTTGGCCTTCTTTGCTATCAAAAGGGAAGAAAATTTTAAATATTTTTATTTATATAGCTTATTTACATACACAATCCTTCAATAGCATAGATGTTTTTGGTTCGTTTTAAAATAGAGTAGACACAGAAAATATTTCTAACTGCTTGAGAGTTCTGGTAAAAAATGACACGCCTTTTACCTTAGGCCCCTAAACTGGACTATTAATTTTCGATAGGACGCTTTCTAAGTCTCATTTTCAAAAGCCCAAAATTTAACGAATTCATCTAATAAGTGCTTTGGAAGTAAATGCATTGCGTGCGAAGTAGTTTTTAAAAATAAATTTTATTTCGGCAAAATAAATTTATATTTACTTATTAAAACAATTCTTTATACATATTTTCTATTACAAACATATGCTTATTGTATTTATAAATAATATTTTGGTATTTGATTTCTTGTTTTTTTTTTTTGGTACGCGTCAATATATTCGAACTAATACTAATAATACATATTTCTTGCAAAACTTTTTTTTTTAAATAATTTATTACGAACTAAAAAATAGCTAAACATGCATTATATTGTTAATATAATAATTGTTGATGTTATATATCTAAGCTTTTATAAAACAAGCAATAGCTACCTTCTTATTTAGAACGTACATACTTGAATCAGCATTCTCTCATTTAAAACACAGTTATAGTCTTTGGGATGAGCACAAGGGTAAGCGGTTTTAATTGATTTCTTTAAATTACTAACATAACTTCTTCTACATAACTTAATTGACATTCGTGGAACTTAAAGCAGTGGCGGTGACTAAACATTCACATTGCAATGATTGTAGTGATCTCGCTGCCAATCTGTAAACAAATTCAAATGAAAGTACAATCAGTCACAACACGATTAGTCATCACGCGAAAAAAGCATAGGAAACATGAAGAAGAGTAAGAACAAGAAGAAATGCAAATGCAAATGAGAGCGCGCAACACGCACGGGTTGGCTTACTCACCGCTGCCAGTCAAGCAATTCTCGCGCAACATATCACAATGGCTGTAGAAGAACTGATGATCGCCGTTATACGAGGCACAAATGGCTCTGAACTCGTCGCAATTCTCCAGCGCGCCAGCGCATGGATGGCTGCCGAAGATGGCTAAGACGACGAGCACCAAAACCACCAGCAAGATAATTCCACCGGCTGCGAGCCAAACGGCGAGGCGACACCACGACGCTTTGCACGGTGAGAACATTGACACGCGCGTGGAGCTGATTGGGAAGACCGCGGCGGCACGCCCAGCGTTGAGCAATTCTTACTCCACTTTGTTTGTTTTTAGCCACGAAATCGGATATTGTTTCAACTCACTTTTTAGTATGTCAGTAGTTCAAAACCCTTCACGCCGTACTGTATTTTTTCTTGTAACTACGCGATAAGCCAACAACTAACTGCCCGTTTGACAAGCGCGAATGAATTTCAAACGCACACGGGTAGAGCGCGCACCAAGCATAGCTGAGCTGTACTGAATTCAAGCGTGCGGCTGTGAATTGAACTGAGCTTTTTAGAGCTGTTTGTGAGCTACTGTCATTGCTGCAGCGCCGCTGGAGGGGGGCGGCGAAGCGCAGGGCTTTTGGCGGTCGTAATGTGCCAGACGCTGGGCGCACAACCGATGGGTCACCCGTAAGCGAGTGTGCGCGCGCCTACCGCTGCTCGAAATCGAAGCGCGCGCGCCTTGCACGAATTGCGCTAAATTTACTTGCTTTACTTGTACATGTTTTAGGCTTATTAGCAGCACTTAAATATTTAAATTTATCATAGTTACGCGGCTGCTAATTTATCCTTCAATTTTCATGCACTCACAGAATTAGCAAAACAAAGCGTGGAAGAAGCTTTACAAAAATAGCTTGGCAGTCACTTCGCTTAAACATGCAAATGAGCACCTTTTGTTGCTGATAAACAAATGTCAGCGGCGTTAAGCTGCCATATTTGTTGTTGAAAATTGTCTTGCTTTATTGCTGTAGCTACAGCAGTTTTGTTGTTTTAGCTGTTTTCACAATCGTCTGAATTAACTGCCTTGTTGAGTTTGTTTGCTCGCCGTTTTTTGCATTTATTTTTATGAACTACTTAACTGTTTTAGTGCTCTTTTTAGAATATGTACACAATTTTTATAGGAATATTACACAGTTACTCGAGCTCATCGCTGGTGCTCGGCTGCACTCATTTCACTTCCGCAAACGACTGCCAGACACATTCACTTGCCTACTACTGCCAAAGACCAAACCTACCTACCTACAAACATGCTACATAGCATATGCTCGTACATACCTTTTAAACGCTGAATGCACCGCTAACCATCTCCTCAACCCGTATTTTTATAATCAGAAATATTATATGTAAGTGCTTGGGCCACAATCACCCAGAACCGAAATAAGGCACCCAAGGCACAGTGTTCAGCTGTGGGTGAAAATGTGCACATATTTTGAGGTAGGTCGTTAAATAGATGCCGCAATGCACCCTACGAAATCACATTCAACTTATCCTGCGTTTCGCTCGAAAACAAATCCCCCCCGGAATTTTTGCATCTGTCCGTAGTGAATACATATAATCGATAAGAGAAACGTGAACGATTTCGGGCGAAAATAAAACGCATGATAAGGTTGATTATGAAATTGGTACGAATAGACAACTCAATACTTGAATTAGATCCAATCTATGAAGGGTGGAATGTCAAGCCCATACTGTGTATTTATAATCTACAGCTCTATTAGACTAGTTTCAAAAAGATGCTGAGGTAACTCGGTGTAGGACTGCACGCCGTAGTTGATCTTTTAAGGATAGAGTACCTAAGGCTTTAGAATTTGTTTGTGTTCTCTTCCCTGGTTAAGGCAAGAAGACAAATTTGACTCTCTTCCAAATAGTATACGGTATAAAGGTCAGTTATAGACCGGGTTTTGAAAACGTTTTCTTCCCACAGGGCAACGACATCATTAAGATTTTTGCGACGTTATAAGTATGACAGAAAACCATCCGGCCGCAAAGACTTGAAAGCGCAACAACTATTTATTGCATAGATATTTCTTTTCTCAAATATTGTCATTCCAATCTCACTCTGCGTTTTGTATGTTGATTAGTATTTCCCTTTCATTCTACTTTCCCAAACGAAGGTTAAATTTTGTGTTGTTTGGACAGTATGTGACTTAAGTTAAACTATTTTCTATGTAATTCGATGGGCTTTCTCCATTCCGTTCTTCTGGGATTACGCAAGAGTTAGATGTGAGTGGTATTTCCGATAATCCGCTATTGAGGAACTGAACAATGATCAGACAAGGAGAATTTAGATTTTTTTATATAAAGATTCTCACTTCTACAGGCCTTGCTCAAAAAATCTCTGTTAGCCGTCCATACCAGAATATCAAAAGTTTCTGTAAATAACCTTTTGTTAAATAGTTCTGTGTAAGTACACAGGGGGAAATTTTAAGCGACTAGCAGCTGGAGAAAGTATTCAACTCCTGACGTAACAACAAATTTGTACCCCCGAAGCCCTCTACAATTGGGGTAAGAATAATTTAGAGAAAAAGAAGGAATGTTTCCAATGGGATATTTGTAAAAAATAACTGCAACTAAGATTTAAGATCTTTAACGAATTTTTAAATCAATAAAAAAAAATATATTTTTAGTTCTTATTGTAATAAAAGCGTGTTGTTGTTTTTTTAACTATAATTTTATTATTCATTTGGTTAATTTTTTTTACACACCTTTCCTTTTTTTATTTAAATGAAAAGACCAACCTTGCAGCTATCATTGGAGGTCGAATATTCATTTGCAATGAGAGTTGTTGATATTTCGGGTATAAAGGCATGAAATTGTGCGTTCCTGGAATATATTGTGTCTTTGCGAATCTATTTTGAATCTTTTGCTTAACTTCACTGTAGTCACTCTTGGCAGCATACAGCACCTTAGTTTTCTCTAAATTAGTCTTACCCCATTGTTAGAGGGCCTCGGGTGTAAGAATTTATTGTGACGTCGGGAGCTGAAGACTTGCTCTAGCTGTTAGTCTCTTAAAATTTCCTCCAACCCTGTCGCAAGCAAATTGCCCATGTGAACTTGCAACAAAGTTCAATTCTGCCATTTCCTTGAAAGGATTTTCGTGATTTCAGATACATTTTAGACAATGTTTTTGTGTAAAAAAAAAATAAAAAAATGCTATAATCAAAAAAAAAATCAAAGAGAAAAGAAAAGTGTTTTCTTAATTTTGATTTTTTTTTATACGTTGTACATTAATGTTATAAATTTACTATTGAAGCCCATAAAAAGGCAGAAGAAATACATTTTTTTTTTCTTTAAGTTTCTTTAAAAGGTTTCCAAGATACAGCACTTTAAAGAAAATCCCGTGTAAATAGGCGACCCTACGTCATACCGGCGAAATGTGCTGCACGTATATTCATGTTACCTATACCTTCAATCTCTTCAACTTTCATCCAAATCCTTAGCGGACGCGATGCCATGAAATGCCTCTACTTACAACTCAACTTAATGAAATTTTTTCTCTTTTTAAGCCACCTTGGCCCACTGTGCCGGCACTTTGCAACACTATGCGGCACTTGTTGGCAGTAAACACGCATAGCGTTCTGATTTGGTGATGGCATGGCGAAGCAGAGGCAAACATTCAAATTAACATTCGCTGCGGCGCAGAATTTATAAAGCTTCGTACATAACAATAGTTACTACTTATTGTTGTTTCGGTGCAGCGCCGCTGCCATAGCAACCGGAAAACACCGGCAATTGTTGTCATTAATTGTGCAGTGTTTTAGGTGAATGGCTGCGGTTGAAATTCCATACAATTCCGGCAATGGAAAATAGACAAGTGGTGGGCTTAAATTACATATATATACATACATATCTCTGCTGCCAGCAGCTATTAACCAACAGTCACTGTCGTCATCCGCCGCTGACATACTCGTATCATACCGGTGCAGTTTTACAGATTCAAGCGACGAATGGAAATATTTTTTATTTTTTTGTTGTGCGGCAAAGGGAGTTGACGCTTTATTTATACTTATTTCCCTTTAAATATTTTAATTTTTGTTTTATATTATTTTTGGATCCCACTTCCTGTCGACAGTTCTGTGCGTTGCTGCTGTTTATGCTCTACTCCACTCTGCTCTGCTTTAACTACATTATTATTACATACAATTTCTATATGTTGTTATTGTGTTGCCGCTCCATTGTTGCCAGTTCATAACTGTGCTCGCTTGTTGTATTTGTTGTTGTTTGGGTGTTTAACACGATGCTCACCTAAGTGGAACTTTAGAACTGTTGCTTGCTTTAGCACGCAATCGTTACTCTGTAGCTTTTTAGCATCGCCAACACACTCAGCTCATCTAGCAGCGACAGTGAGTGCATTTGAAAACTATTAGACATATTTCATGGCGTCTGCGATCACTTAGCAACACTTGCTCTAAAAATTAACGACTTTGCGGCTCCCTTCAGCGCAGTTTGTAAACTAATTTATTTTGCCATTCGCGTTTAAATATTAATTTAGTTACATTGACACACTGTCTCAATCTATTACTGTGCATTATGGTAGCCGTATTTTGAAGAACTCCAAGTATTAACCAAATAAAAAAGAGGGGCAGCTACCCACTCCTAGACTCAAGAAATTGTAGATTTTCTTCCTTTTATTTATTGGCGCTGTAACCGCCTAAGCGATTTTCTTTCTCTTCCGTGCCAACTGACGCCAATTAGAAATGCCAAGTGAAGCCAAGTCCTTCTCCGCCTTGACTTCCCAACGTAGTGGGGGCCCCCCTCTTCCGCTGCTACCACCAGCGGATTCCGAGTTGAATGGGGCGTTAATGTCCATTCGAACGACATGGCCAAGTCAGCCTAGCCGCAGGATTTTTATTCGCTGCACTATGTCTTTATCGTTGGGAAGCTCATCCTTCCATAGCACAGTGGTCCAAAGCTGGCATTTTGTGCTCACAATTTGAGATTATTATTTTTTTATTGAAAGCTTATAAAATATGAAAGAGACGATTAGAGTATTAAATTTTTAAGTGCAAAGTGCAGAAAAAAGTGCAAAAAGTAGCAATTTCGAAGAAAGGCGATTTTCCTTTTCCAGTTAATTAATATTGCGTATTAAAAATTAGTTGAAAACAATTGCAGCGTTTTTGCAAACCAAAAAAATTAAAATATAAAAAAATTTTAACAAAACAAAATTGTCTTTTTTTGTTTTTTTTTATTTTAAAATTAAAATTTAAATTTTAGTACAACAAAGTGCAAGTCGCATGTGGCTAAGAGTTCGCGTTGATTTTTAATAGAAGTAGAGCTTCCGTTTGCGTTCGTTGGGGCAAGGAAAATAAAATACAGATGAAAACTAGATAGACTTGTATTAGGAGTTTCCAAAAATTTGTGTTTATCTAAACAAAAAAAAAACAATAAAATGTAATTAAAAATATTTTTACGCTTATATAAATACCAACAACGAAAATCAGTGTTTATTATTTATTTGTAATGCAAAATCTTAATAAATTAAAGGCAGTGGAGCGAAAGAATATATCATCTTCGTAATTAATGAACACCCTAATGTACTGGCACTTGTCGCTCGTTGCCTGCTTATGCGAGTTAATAATTAGTTTGTCTTCTTAATACTTTTAAATAGGTCAGTAGCTAAATAAGAAGATGAGATATTTACTTTTATATTATTATCAAGAGTTTTAATTGCGAATACTGAGTATGAAAATTAGTATGAAATACTTTAGGCCCTCCAGCTAGATTTGTATCTCATTACAAGGTACTCGCGAGTGACCTGGTAGCCAGTTCAAAACAAGTTAGTTATGTTTGCCAATAAATTTGGTCAATAATTGCATTGCCTATAATCTTCGACATATTAGGTGCCCTTAATTAATTTTTTGGGGTTTTTGGGGGACCTATAAAAATAGTTGATATTAAAAATAGATTAAATAAACCATTTGGGACTATTATTGGAAGTCTTCGATCGAAAAATATTGGTTAACAAGAGTTCTATACCATTTCTACGATCAATTATTTTTTCCCATATAAAATACATGGAAAACTTTGAGCGCTATGAGCGACCTCTAAATATGATTTGATTTCAAAAAGAACCATCCTAGGGGTGAGAGCATTACAATTTTTTTTCGACCTGGCTGGACATACATAGTTCAAACCTTGAATATAATGAGCAAACAGTTCATCACAGGAATTGGGCTATCAAATGTGGTAGAT